CTTTATGCTGTTCCAATTCAGATCTAATTGAGTTTAACTCTTGTCTGTTTCTGTCAATGATGGATTGTAAATCTACTACTTGCTTTGACTGCTCTAATTTTTCTACTTCCAAGGCTTTCAACTTTTCATTTAGAACTACAATTTCTTTTTGAAAGTCCGTTTGTTTTCCAAGGAATTCATTTTGCTTCTCCAAGTGTCTTTCCAATTCTCTTATATATTTTCGTTTATTTGCTAAATCAATTGGATTATCTAAATTATCCGTTTTTACATTGCTTGACTTTATTTTATATCTGGGCTGGGGATAGAATACATCTAAATGTTCCTCCACATTATTGTGTTCTGTAATATAAAAATGTAAAATATTTATAAAAAATGATGACTATAAATATGATATAAAAATTAAGATGTACCATTCTGTATAGTTTCGGTTGTTGTATTGTCTAGATTTTCACAATCTAAGATCTGTATTTCATTATTTGGATACAAATTTGAATTTTCCATATTTATTTCAGCATCTTTATCATCCAAAATATTGGGAATCATTTCAATTGAAACATGAGATGGAGTTGGACTAATCCGATCACTCTGAATCGATAGATCTGAATCTGTGTCATCTGTAGGATGTTCTACTAATAACGATGAAGTAGTTGATGGTGATTTAAAAGATTCCACTATCCTCTTTGGACTCGGGTCAGGCGTATTTAAATATGTAAATAACGCGTCTTCTTTAGGTGTCGTTACATTTAATAGATTCACTGATGTCAAACCTGAAGTAGGAGCAACATAAGGAATATGACCCGATGATCCCAGTAAAGGTGTCTTGGATGTACCATTTAATCTAAAAGAAAAATATTTTCATTAATTTTTTTTTTATATTTCATATATTTTTTTCATTAATTGTTTTTCCATAAGGATGTTAAAATCTGTTGAAAGCTACAATATTTCAATAAAATAAATTTGTATTATTTATATTTTATGTTGTACAAATAAAAACAAAATGAGAAAATGACATTTCGCGAAGTGATTAATTAATCTAAATATTCAACGGTAATAACCTGAAATTGACATGAATGCAATTACCCAGATTCCGGAGAGAGCCATGTAACTTCTGACAGATGACCCTGCGGCATCTCGTATTTATCTTTATTTAACACGGCCGCAGTGTTTTTGTCAATTTTATTCAACAAATTCTCTGCCTTATCAGCAAGACCAGACAGCCAAGCCATATCGATGTGAGGGCTAATAAGAAATGTCCGAAGAAATGAAAATCGTGTTACGCACGTAACGACGCGTAACGGACCGCAACCTACCGGGACCAATCAACCAGTACGCGACAATGACAGAATACTGGCTGGTGGCACGCGTAAATGAATGAGGCAACGTGTCGCTTCAACTGCACTCTCCCGTACTCAAATTGCAAAAGATGTTTAATTGCTAGGGAATTGTTGATTCTCATTAGCAGCGGACTCAACTGTTGATTGAGCGCTCGCTGCTATTGACTTAGTTTTTATTGAAGATTTAAATCGGATCAGAATGTAAGAACTAACCAACTATAGTCGAGCATTCCCCTGTTGACTGTAATAGGAAAATACTCGACTGTAATTGGTTGGTTCTGATCCGGTTTAAACTCTCGGTGGAAACTAGGCCATTGATGTATTCTTCCAGATCTAAAATGATTAAATGTTCTAAAAGGAACATAAAATACGATTGGATGATTTTTTTTATGCATATGTTTATGCGGTTATTCAAGTTATGTGGATTCTTATTTTCTGTTCTTATTCTCTGTTCTCTGTTCGCTATTCTTTTCATTGTGCGCAAGCCCAAAGTAGGCGTAGTTTAGCCGAACTGCACACACCATGGATGCATTTAGTACTACAACCGCCCAGTGAGCATTCAGTGAGCTCTTGCATCTAATTGGCATATTCCAATAGATCCAAAAATATAAACCACACAGGAGAGAGAGTTCACTAAGCGCTCAGTGAGTTATTGTAGTACTGAATGCATCTCATGTAAGTCCGGATCTACAATAGATGTCTTAAGCTTAAGAAACTGATCAATTATCCCGGATCTACAATAGATATTTTAAGTCTTAGTCATAAGAAATTGACCAATTACAATTGAATACGAAGAGAATAATTGACTATGATTCGTCTATTTCTAATGATTTAAGGCTTAAAAATCCGAGTTAATACTCCCACCATTTTACTTTAGCATTTAGGGACACAAAGGAATAGGGAATAGAGAACAGAGAATAAAAATTTCAACCTATCAGAAATCATGTGTTGTGGAACACACAGTTTCTGATAGGTTGAAATTCTTATTCTCTGTTCTCTGTTCTTTTTATTGTGAGCCCCTTACCATATCTGGACATATGTACATTGTATTGTAAAAATTCCCTAGTTCCTCTTGCGTTATCCATCGATTAACGTTATCGAGTAGCGTTTGGTTAGTGAAAGATATCCATAAACCCGTTCTGATTTCTGAGTATCATTACATTGCATCTTGCATTATTAATAAAGATACATACATAATATTTTAGAGGTCAATTTGCATTAATGCATATAGATATACAAACGTGAAGATTCGAAGAATGAGTCTTATGGAAAACCGGAACACGCAGGTTCTAGATGATCAGTTACAGCATTTTATTGAAACTGAGACGAAAAAGCAACAGTTCCAGGTTAGTTTCTTGGCAATCGCATAAATAAATTTATTGATATTTTCTATTTATACTTTGTATTTTGTAATATAAAAAATATGGGTATTAATATATAAATATTTATCAGTAATATTTCTATCATGTGTAACTTTATTCAATTTCAAATCTATTCATATACTTGAGAATGTAAATGTAGTTATTTATTTTATCTTTATTATTTTCTTTTTAATTTATTATTATGCGCTTTATACTATGGCTATGGAACGATGAATGAATTATATAATCAGATGATATTTTCAGGGATTGGTACATGAATTAACTGGTCTTTGCTGGGAGATTTGTATGGATAAGCCATCATTACGCCTGGAGCCTAAAGTTCATAAGTGTCTTGTGAATTGCGTGGAGAGATTCATTGATACAACTAATTATATCACAAACAGAATAGAACGAGTTGCCTCAAGTGTGCAGTCCGAGTCAGATAACATGGAGTGAAGATTCTCAAGGATTATGTGACAAAGTTTGTCATGCATATATTTTAAAAACTCTGTAATATACTTGTATGTGTATTAGATCTGCATAAACAATTAGACATGTTTTCAAGCATTCGAGGATTTTTAAGTCGCCATAGGCGTAAGTTCATATTTGGGAGTGTCATTATTAGTAGTGTCATTTTTTTGACGCGTTACACACAGCGTAAGCTGCGAGAGTGGCAAGAAAATGAAATAAGAATGCTAATGGAAAGGACAAAGAAACGACAATACTATGAGAGCACAGAGAGATCGTGTAATCAAATGATATCGAGACTTGCGATAACTTTGAGAAACTCTGTAGTCAAAGAAAATGATACAGAAGTCATTATAAAACAACTTAAAGATGGCTCTGCTGATAAGATAACATCTTGGGTTCAATTGAAGATATTAGCAATTGCGCGACCGGCCGTAATAATTTATTCTTATACAATGCTAGTTACATTTCTTAGAATTCAGCTCAATTTGATTAGCGGACATATGTACAAACAGGCACAGAACAATATGGATAATGGGATTATTGGCACAGAAGTACAAAAGAGATACATGGCTCTTTCCAAATATTTTATAGATGAAGGCATTAAAGATTTGAGCGAGTTCATACAAAATAAAGTTAGTGAAGTCACAGTTTCATTATCTCTAACGGAGCAATTAACGTTAAGAGATTTAGAACAAATTTATTGGGCAATTACATCTTCTGTATCTGCCGACAGCTCGAAAGATCCTGTAAAAAATTTCACTTACTATACATTGCAACATGACATTGAAAACAGTGATACATCTGTTTATTCAAAGCTAAGGGATCAGATGCTAGATGTATCGGAGAGCGAAGAAGTACAGGATTTAATGCAGAAAAATATCAGAACTGGATTTGTTTTATTAATGGATCATATATCTGCATACTTCAGTGAACCTTCTAAAACTAATAGTGTACAGAACAAAGCATCGTTTTCAGGAGAATCAAATGCTGATAATTCAATTTTAACAAGGAGAGAAAATACAAGTGATTTCAATGGATTTGTAGATCTTAACAAAACCACTATTGCTTTAGCCAAAATTATCCCTATTGTGAATGGACAGGTTCCAGATAATCCAATTTCGGACGATTTAGCAGAAAATTGGCTTCAGCGTCTGATATTCAATAATGATCTTAAAACACTCGGGGCTAATCTTTACGAAGCAGTTTGCTAAAGTTAATTGCGAGTCATTATTTTGGAAATGAGGTATTATTGATTGCACAATCAGTATTATTGACAGAGCAGTCAGTAATCCTTTGTAGCAGTTATATAATACAATTTTACTTGAATTTCGTATAGATTTCTTTGTATATTCAGATTCAAGAAGTCACAGAAAATATTCTATTTATTTTATATATTTTTAGATTAAAACACATGGTTGACGGTTTCTTTATATTTCCATTAATGTTGTACACAGGTATATAATTATCAGATTTTCAGCGGACAGGTGCTTATATTTTATAAGGAGATACTGTAATGAAACAATTCACTGTAAAACAATAGATGATTAAAAAATTGTTACAAAACGGCATTGCTATTACTCATATAAGATATGTATAAGTAAGAATTTGTTTTAAATTAAATTACAATTTAATAATGGTATAGCATTTTTAATACCGTAATTGATAATAATAAAATTTCATATAATAAAATTCATTGTTTTAATACAGTAA